GAGGCCAACGGGAAGAAGTCGGCAGCATTTTGCGTCATCATCAGGCGACCGACTCATTTCACACATACATATACATTACATGGGATTGCAATCCAACAATCAATGTCGTGGAAATGTTCGCACTTTCTGCCCGCGATAACTGAGTTTCTTAACGAGGGTACATGATTGAGACAACAGACAGTACAACGCCGTTTTGTCGCAGAATGACACAGACATGGTGACGACAAAAGTTCGCTTTGTATTGACGTTGTGCGGCGGAAGAAAAAATCGACTACACGTAGCATACGTATTATTACGCTTGCGTCACAGCACATCCACCCACTTCATGCAGCACTGCAGAATGAATAGCGGTCCGCATCTACAAATCTTCATCCGCTACTGTCAATTTTCCAGGACTGACACCAGATGTCAGATTACCCTGTCTGCACACAACTCTTATTTTATCCAACACCGGGGAACGTTGTTGCAGCGTTTAGACATTCATACGTACATCCCGCTCCTCGGTGCAAGCTTTCGCACTACACGGACGCCGATGGTGCCGAGCACCGAATAGATCATGTTATATATATACTCACAGGATGGTCGTCGTGACGTGATATATTTCTTGTTATTAGTATGGGAAAAAAAAAAAAGATGGCTCGATTTTTGTATTTCTACAGCAGTATGGACCGGACGCCGACTTGTACATAGAAGTCGTACGAGTGTCGACTTAGTTATGCTGTCACAGCATCTTCCACGCACTTCTGCCAGTGCTGGTTTGTTGATTGGAGTCTTGTAGGTTGAGATACAGCCGTGAGATTCTCGGGTTGTGGAGCCAAAAGTGAACCAGAGCAAAAAAATTCATGCAGAGCACGATTACTGCTGTGTTTTTGCTACAGCAGTATGGACTAGACGCTGAACGACATCCGCGTCTGCGGCAAACGATCTAACTGGATGATTCCTGTCACGGCGAGCCATAGTACAATGCGATGCAAACATCCGTTCGTGTGTCGTGCGGCTGCCACATGTGTCGACGACAGGTACACGTAGAACTCTCGCCATGTTGTCGTTACCGCGCAGGACCCCTCGGAGATCTTCCACATCGTGCTACAACGACAGCAGTACTACTGTACATAGATGTCGTAGGAGAGTGGAGTTGTGCTGTACGGCATCTTCCACGCACTCTCCTACCGGTGCTTGCGTCGATTGGAGTCTTGTAGGCCGAAATACAAGAGTGGGTTGGGTTCCCGGGTTGTGGAAGCAAACCTGCCTGCAGCAACAGAGAAGGCGGTGTTCTATGTCCTACGGTATCCCGCTCAACTTTTTTTTTGCGACATGTGGTTGCATATTTCTTTGCCACTGCCGAAAAAGACCGCTGGATCTTTACGCAGTCCATCTTTCGCATTTATCATTTTACACCGAACGACGCAGGACGGGTCGACCTTCATCATTGTTGTTGTTGTTGTGTCTTCATATTAAAAACCGTTCCGATCTCTCTCTACCCAGTACCTTCATAGGTCCGTACTTGTGGATTACCTATGCACTTTTCTTCTTGTGAAGTTTTGACGTTGCGCTTGCCATCGTCGCTTAAGTATTTGTGTCTTCAAACCTTCTCAGCCGGCCTTCAAAATTCTTGTTGGTAAGTCTCCGTGGGTAACTTCTACGCGCATGAGTCATATACAGTTATGACCTGCGCTTTGACTTTCACGATGGGTATTTTACCTCCTCTCCGTCTTGCATTGGTGAGTACCTGCGTTATACGGAAGATCGTTCCACGACGCAAACGTCGACGTCTCCTTTTTCTTTTCTTTTTCCTTCGCACTCCTTCCTTGCCGCGGTTTTCACACCGACTTCGAACTTCGAACGTGGGGTGCATTTGCCTCTCTTCGTACCTTCCTGGTCGGCCTCCTCCATCGTTGTGTACATAATGTATACCTCGATTTTTCGGCTTTTCGATTCCGATAGATAAAACTACGGACTGACATGTCCCTTTCACCCCCGACGGGACCACGCGCTCATCATCGAGTGCCGAAATTCTTCACCACTTCCTTGCCTCTCCCAACACCGTCCCTTCTTCCCGCCCCTACAAATCCTCTCCCCTTCTTCTTCTTCCCTTCCTCCCGGACACTCACCACCATCCGTCCTGGATGTTGGCACCCAGCCCCATTGGGGGACGGGGGGCCAATCCTTAACCCTAGTAGATAGTACTCGAAGTAGGTGTAAAAGTTTAAAAATACTACATGTACATAAATACCATGTCAATGTACTCTAGGTCCTCGCTGCGATGATGAAGATGAAACAACCTACCTGTGGTTGGATGTAAATACCATTGTCTATGTATTGTAGGTCCTCGCTGCGATGATGAAGATGAAACAACCTACCTGTGGTTGGATGTGCTACTGTACATACCGCAGGAGGTAGGTGGGGACAAAAGAAGAAAAGAGAAGAAAAAACCCGGCGTGTACGGTGCGTCTAGCTAGTTGTAGTGTATCAAGTACGCTAAGAAGTGTAAGTGCACATATGCGGCAAACGCGTAGTGTGCACCGAAGAGGAGAGAAAGCAGGCGGCGCCAGAGACGGGACGAAAAAAAAACAAAAATACAGCAGTAGATGATGACTCTTCCAACGAAATGCACCCGCCAAGAGACCACTTGTAGGTACAGTGCCCAACGGGATATCTATGATATATCTATCTTCTTTCGACTTCATACATACATACCCAACAATTCACGCAGCTCGCCCATCGGTGGCACACACTATCTTCTTCCTCCTCCTTGCCAAATCTCACGAATGAAGACCGCTTCCCCGGGTATTTTAATACAACTACGACCGGGGTCTCATCCTTGAAATGATGAGCGTATATTCTTTGACGTCAGCCCGTGCACTTTGTATTTCTCGAAATATTTCATTAGAGAGGACAAAAAACTTACTGAAAAAACTTCACCACATCCCTTTCGACTGAGGTTATATCTCGAACGGGTAGTCTTTCTGTAAGGCTATGTTTACTTTCTAAATAACTCTCGAACGGACGGACGGACGGGTAGTCTTTCTGTGAGATTGATTAGGTGTATTTTCTAATTAATAGTCAAGACTGGTTGCTGCTGCTTGTAGACTGTGTATCTAAAATGGCAGGCTCAAGCTGTGCTGCTCGGAGAACATTTTTTTAGCAATATATTGCAGCCAAGCCGTAACAAACAACATAGTCTATACCAGCAGGACAAAACTTTTCTTGATTTTTTTTAAATCCAGAAATATCCATGCTCATCATCACTTGTATTATTGATGTTACATATATATTCATGCGTACACATACAGAGAAAAATACGAAAATAATGACTCTTCTCTATCGACAGGTCAGAACCTCTTATCATGGCGACCTAGACGTAAATTATGAAGAAACCGTTCAGTCTCTCTTGCTTCTAGGTATGATATGCCTTGTTTCGGAACGCTGAGGGAGTGGCTACAATATATCCTCGCCCCAATCAATCCGAACGGGTCCAGTTCTCTTACGAACCTCAGTCCAGACGTCCACATGTAGACTATGTAGGACTCTGCTGCAACGGTCTTGGATATCATTCTTGTACGGAAAAACACAGACCCGAAAGATTCTCACGAACATCATAACACGAGTTTTCAGCCCACTTGTTCGTCTTCTACTTCCTCCATCGCTTGATTAGTGCACTAAAAAACGAGGGTCGAAAGACACCAAGGTCCCCAGTAGATGTGTCGCATGCTACCACGTCGCGAGCAAGAGAAACGAGGTGTTGCTCTTGCCGTCCTAGGCCGCTTATTTACAGTGCCCATGGTTTGTGAATACAATCGTCTATTTATTACACCAGAATTCCACGTAACGCCCTTCGACAGGAAGGTCATTAGAGTAGTGTCTCGATCAGAAGGTATCCCGGTAACGAGATTCCTGCAGTGCTACAGTAGTGTCATCACCGTTCGCCGTGGGTATATATATACAGTTCGAAACCGGACACGTTGCTCATAATCATTTCGCAGACTGAGAGGTACAAGTACAACGGTCTGTATGTTCGTCTTCGACGTGGTGATGAGCCACGGTTGGCTGGATGACGTCGGTGTTGCGCCAGGTCTTGATATCTCCTCCAATTCAAGGCGACTTGCTGAATGTTGGCAATCTGCGCGTTCGGCAGCGCCGTCGTCTACACCCACCTACCATCTCCGTTTTGCCCACCTCGCCGCCTTCCATATTGGCGTGCGCACCAGAAGCGCCCTGCTTTGGCCCAGGTGAATCCACGCCCTGGTGAGTATTGATGCCGTCGATCACCGGCTGCAGCTGTTGGGTGGCGCCATCTCGGTTCGCTATCGCGTCGGGCAAGTGTAGTCGATTACCTCGTTTCGGCGAAACTCGGTCGGTGATGACTGCACTGTCGATTCCCGGGCCACCTCCGGTCCGCGGAGAAGACCGTGCACGCGACGGGCGCCCCACTCACCGATCAGGCGTACGAGCTAGCGCCCGTGATTCTCTCTCCTCAGACGCACAGGCGTGCAAATGCGGATTTTGGCCCCTCCCGCACGTTGTCATCGACATACGTTCGTAGTTGCGCACACATGTAAATACCAGTGACGTGGCTACGATATGGCACGCCTGACGTCCCTTCTCTCCCATCTGCCCGCTGGCCATTCCCGAGGCGATTCCTCATGGGATAGGACCCCGGTTTCTCAGCATAGATCGGGTTCTAAGTGACTCCGCACAAGAAATTATTCAAACGACTCTCAAGCGGCGTCTCGTGACCCTGACCAACCACGAGAAGCCTCTTGTGCATCACCGAGCTCCTTGTGTTTGCACAGCTCTCTCGGGCACGTTAGACTCTCTGCTGGAATACAAAACTTCGACAGAGTGGTCGACTTCAACTCTTTTCTCGCTCGGGGGGCCAGTACTACTGTACGTTACACGCTTCCCTGCATAAAAAACCACCATCATGGCACCTTCGAATGATGCAATGAACAACGGTTTGTTTGTCTCCTTCGCCTTCACCTGGCCCACTCTTTGCCTCCATGATTACCCGGTATCCGGCTAGCGGAAAGGTGAGCTGGTGATGACAATGCGGGAGGAAACACTGCCTACTACGTTGAGAGCACGACTCATTCGACCCCCCGACCACTGTTAACTTCATCATTCGCCCTTGACCCCACACCCAAAACTGAAAAACAAGGTCCTACTCGCCGAGACGACGACGCAACCAACCAACATCGGCCACGGCAACATGGCGGTTACGGCTAACCTTCGACGTCAGCAACAGCAGCCATACCAGGAGACAGCGAAACCAGTCAGTAAAAACTCCACCGTCACCGGCGCCGCCGCGGCCACCGCCGCGCGCCTTGCCACGGCAGCCCTCGCCCTCACCGCCGCTAGCGCGGCCACCTACGAGGTGTCTCCTGATGGCGATCCCATGACGCTCGCCGCAGCGCTAGAGGTGGCCGGTGCAGGCGACACCATATCTTTGGGGGACGGGATCTACCGCGAGCCGCTCGTGACCATGAAAGCCGGTGTGGAGGGCAATCCGCTCGTGATCGAGGGTGGCAGAGACGCGGTCGTCAACTACTACACCGGCGATAAGAGTATCATGTGGTCCCAGAAGGTCGTCGATATTCGCCACTCGTGGGTCACTCTGCGGGTGAGAGGCAAAGATATATGGTAGAGAAGAATAGAGACAAGACGTGTGGGTGAGGGCGTGCGTGTTGTGGATCGCACGATGTTCAGCACACCTGCTGCCAGAACGTATTCCAAGGCTAGGTCGTAGCCTGGCCGCAGCCGTTTCAATTCCTCTGCAGGAATCGACTGGTTCTCCGGTAGGAGGTGTTCAGGAAGAAACGCCCGTATTGGAACAATTTCCGTCGGAGGTCTTGGCGCGCAAACGCTACGGGTTCCATGATCCTCCACCTGAATAGGTGCTCGTCCCAACGATACCAGTAACTCTCAGGAATCGCTCGGGGTTGGGTGCACGCATGTTTTTGTTCTGTTTGTTAGGCCAACGCAAACGCCAACAAAAAGCGGACCCGCCGCCGAAATCGATAGCCCCCCAAAAACTTGGAGTTCCACCTATGAGACAATTCCTGTAAGTTCTTGGAGAACGGACATAACGATCTGTTCATACTCTTCCTTGTTTTGCGGGGGAGAAGACAAACCCATTTAGCTCTGTTACGGCGCAGTGCATGACATGATGGCACCAGAATAGCATCGAGCAGATGTCTATCGCATACGTACCGAATACGTAATTGTTTCACGACCACTTACCGCACTGTCTTCATGTCGATACATTTGGTGGCTTGTGGTGGTTTTCGACATTCGGCGAATACCAGTACAGCGTTCATGATGTACATACGATGCAGCGATTTTTCCCGCTTCGCATCGTAAGAGCGGGCAGATCATGCTTCCATTCTTCACACCAATGCTCGAAATACAAGCAAAGAGCTCATATCACGTGGGGTGCGTATCTTGTTGCCCCTTCCAACCAGGGGTTTACCATCGACGGTCAGATAGACGACGCCGATCACGAAGATTCGTTCGTGGACAAGTGTATCTTCGTGGAGGGTCAGGCCGCGCCTGAGGACGTCGAGTACGACGGTCGCACTGTTGAGACCGCCTTGATTGGCACGGTGATCGACAGCATGAAAATCCAGAACTGCGGGTGCGTGCTTGCGTGCGTATTGCACTCAGAGGGGGGTTGGCACTCACCGGTAATTTTCCAAACATAACCAGTACCATACTCGTGGGTAGTGAAGCCTTCGTGATTTTTCTTGTTCTTGCCCTCCTTCCGTTACTGCGGCGGCTGTGTGTGCGCGTTTGTTCTTTTTTGGCATCCTCCGGTTGGATCATTACCGAAACGTGAGCTGCGTACCAATAACCACACCAACCATCTTGCAGGATGGAGTGCATCCGCATGAGGAACTTCGTCACCAACACTGTGATCATCGACAACGACATAGAGGACTGCGGCATCTACGACTACCGGTACACGTTCGACGGAAAGGTCGGCGAAGCAATCTACATCGGAACGTCCAGCAACCAGTGGGCCGATGGTGCAGACGGGAGGGTGACGAATGGCCCTGACGGATGCAACTACAACCTGTGAGTGACCTATGCGAGTGACTCTCGTTGGAGGTCATTTTTTCTTGGTTTATTCGGTTTCCTCCTTGTCCTGTGTCATGTGTGTGTGCTCAGATCAGCAAGACATTTCTTTTAGTCTCTACCCTCGTGGTGTGCATATCACCAGACGCGCCTCGTGGGCGTCGTTGTGATAGTCCTTTGAGAACCACTCATCATGATAGTCCGAAGATAACGATGGGTTCAGCACGTGTGGTCGGCGATGACTAAAGACTATGGGACGCGTTCCACACCTGACCATGCGCTACACTTTGAAATGGCCGGGGTGGACATACACATGCAGTCAGCGAGTGACTAGAGAACCGGGGCTGAGAAGAGAGTAATGACCTGACAACGATGAAAAATTGGCTTTACCGACAGGGTGACCGGGAACAAGCTCGTGCCTCGCGGTAACGAGTGCGTGGACATCAAGGAAGGCGCAACCATGAACGTCGTCGAGTACAACGATTGCGAGGACCAGCGGGACGTGGAGTCAGGGTGCTACGACTCCAGGGGAAACGAGAACACCTTCAGGTACTTGCGGTAAAAGACTTACGTTTCGTTGGATTGGTGTTTGGACTCGAACGGGGCAGGTTACAACGTCCTTCTCTACCGTAGGAAAGTACGGGCGGAGGACACATCCATGAGGATCGTTTCTATTGAGTACGAAGTTGTCGACAACGACAACCAACGGCCGACAGAAACACCTCCTACCGAAACAACAGCCAAAGACTGCTTCCGCCGCTCTCATGTCTGAATTTGGTGCCAGGTACAACACGGCCGAGAATTGCCTTGGCGGTGGAATCCGTCTGGGTGGTCACGAAATCGATGGCATTACTTACGGGGTCGACAACCACGTGAGTGCCAGCACCTCTTTGCCCTGTTGAATTTGCGGCACCCCCGCCACACACACCCGCGACTCATAGCGGTAGATATGTTCGGACCCCGGAGAATCCTCGCAAATCCAATGGTTCTCATCTTTGTCCGCTCCCTCTACTCGAACGAGGCCATTCTCTTGAAGGCGACGGAAACTGTAGACGGGGGTTGGTCTGTGCGTGCGTACGCTTGTGGTACTACTGCCTAAGGAGGATCATCGCCATCATCATCATCTGCTGGTGCTCGTGCTGGTTCTGGTGCTCGTGCTGGTCTTGTTTCTTATTTAACAACTACGCAATTGGTTTCACGCAGTTATGTGTTTATATGGATGGTAGAACCCGCGTTCCCCGGCACCTGATCCAATTCGAAATTTCAAAATCAAGCAGATGTTATGTAGTCGCTCACACCACCCGAGTTTCCCGACCCCGATAAAAAAAACACCGTCCAAACAGGTCTATGGGAACTCGTTCAGAGAGACCGGTGACGGATCGATCAAGGCGAGGAGGGACCCCCAGGGGGTCATCTGCGAAAACTCGTGCGAGGACGGTGACTGCGATGTCAGCGAGGAAGGGTGCGTACGGCCAACGGGAAAAGAAGGTTGCGCGAGTAGGTAAACCGTATTGCGGGAGGCGCCGGAACCTCAATCTCATTTCCGAAGACTAGCTCGCACAAACGCATGGAAGCAGGTTGTGAACAAGAAGGTGGAAATTTGTATTCTTCCTATAACCTGTCTGGTGCATAAGGATCTGTGGCCGTCTTCTCCAAGAGCCACCCCTCCCTCCACCCCCTTTCCGCTCTTTTTCTCGTTTCCAGGGATGACGAGGAGATCGAAGACTCTTGGGACCAGGAGTGCCCGTCAAGCTTACCTTCCGTCCCTTTCATCGACGACTTGGGCACGCCGACCCTGACTCCCCCCACCCCCACTCCAACGGCCCCCACTCCGACTCCCACCTCGCCGGTGCAGTCCACGACTCCTCTCACCCCCGCTCCAACGAACCCCACTCCGACTCCCACCTCGCCGGCGCTGTCCACGACTCCTCTCACCCCCGCTCCAACGAACCCCACTCCGACTCCCACCTCGCCGGTGCAGTCCACGACTCCTCTCACCCCCGCTCCAGCGAACCCAACTCCGACTCCCACCTCGTCGGTGCTGCCCGGGGCGACCTACCTTGGGTGCTACATCGATGTGAAGGACTCTGGTCGGATCTTCAGCGAGCGCATCACTGACAGGCACTACATGACCAATGAGGTTAGTTGGCATAGAGAACGTGGAAAGGCCGGCACGTGTAAGTGGGGGGCAAGATAAAGTGAGCACGTTTTAGCAGCTGCAGGGAGGGAGCCCGTGAGGGGGCAAGGGGAAGGTGCATGCACAGGGGTGCGACGAGTGACCGCGTGAAATGTGCGAGCATATGAGAAAAATTCACGACGTTTCAAATTTTTGAAGTTAACGTTTTTGTGGAGGCTCCATATACTCAGATATAGCGCTGTGAGCACTGATTTGAAGTCAAGACAAAAAAAAAAACTCCCAGACACAACGAAACGGCACATGCACGTATCGCCGAGCGGGGCCGTCCGCTACAGGACGACTTATCATGGATCCCGACGAAGTACACGTTCCCTCGAGAGAAAGGGAGAGTTCCGTGACCATAAACGGGTCCGCGACGCGGACCCTAGGGGCACACCGCTGCTTTACCTGAGAAATCTAAACGCTGCTTAGAACTCAGAACCCTGGCCCTTCCTGAGCACTGAAGGACGCTGGTGGCTGTGAAATCGTAGGTACACCGCCATCCTTGTTCCAGGGAGGGAAAGTGCGATAAAGTTACTAGGGCGGATCGAGCACAGCCGAAGCACTGATTTCGCCGTTTGAACCACCGCTGTGGATGGTTCACAGAGACTAATCTCCCCTACCCTCGCGTTATGCCTTCTTTGACGACGACGCGTACAACTGTGTTGTCTTTTGCGTGGCTACTACTCTTCGCCTCCCTCCTCTGTTGACGCCAAACCAAACCCGTACACAGCGGTGCATGCAAGAGTGCGAAGGCTCCCCGTACTTCGGGACGCAGTGGGGAAAGGAGGTGAGGGAAGTGAACCACACTCAATGAGTTGATTTTCCTTGTTTTTCGGATCTGAGGCGCCCCCGAACCGAAATCCAGTTTTCGTCGCCCGACGAACGCTCACCAAAACCTTTTACCGCCGCTCCTCGCTCAGCGCCGTAGCACACGACATCAATGCGTACCCACGGCGTCGTGGCCATGGTAGTCGGTCCACAGTGCCAACTGTCGATCATGCTCACGAGGACGGCAGCGACGACGACGACGATACAGACGTACATCAAGTTCAAAACCGCAACAGCTTCGGACAAGCCCAAATCTGCTTTCGCATGGGGAGGGGGTTGATCGATACATGCCTCGTCTCAAGCCAACAAGATGGAGGCGCTGTGAAAATTAAAGGCGTGCTAGAACATCGAGCCCTGCTCTTCCTTCCGTGCACAAGAGCTCTGTTTTGGACTGTACCTCTTCTCTCCGCTTTATCCATTCCAAACCCGGCTAACCCCTTACTTGTTAGCATGTGTCCCCGCGCGGAGCCGCCGGACCACCGCCGCGCTAGCGTATCGCACAATGCGTGTGTTGATATTCGTCTGCATTCCGCCACCCACTCGCTGACCTACTTTTGTCACCTCCCGACTCATCTACCATTCTCGTGAAACCGAATGAACGAACGAAGTGCTGGTGCCCGTCGAACGGGTCCATGGAGATGGTTGACTACGAGCAGCACGGGGAGGCCCCCGAGTCCGAGTGCGACATGGCGTGCGCCGGCGCCTCAGACCAGACGTGCGGCGGCTACGATAGGATGTCTGTCTGGTCCTATGGGACGACGTCTGTCACCGGCACCGGCTTCACGTGCGACGGGATCCAGAGGGGTGACTTCTGTTGCTCGGTAAGTGGGGTCTTTCCGTGCAAGCGGTTCTTGGTTGGCGGGTGGGTGTGTAGTGCTCGATTCGGCGTCAGCCCAAATCAAACCGCTCCGCTGCTGAAAAAGATGGTGGTATTGGTTGGATTGTGGGGGTGGGGCGGAAAGAGGCACCGATCACCCCATCCTTCTCGGCGATTGGTTGTGGTCGTGTTCCAAATGCCCGTTTGGGATAGACCGGACACTAGTTTTGGGTGTTGTGCCCCTTTTCCCGATTTTCGAAGCAACACGGCTGTGTGCGGTCGCGTTGGACGCGAACAGGGTTTCTTGTTGTTGGATGCCTGTTCTCGTACACACCTTGCTGTGCTACTTTTGTACGTGAACCTTGGACACCTGCTAAATCCACTCCGCCACTGTTCGCCATGCGACAGGCCGGGTGCGGCGAGTGCGGCGGCGATGGCTGCAGCAACCGCGGAGAGGGTTTGGACGGAGACGACTGCTGCCAGAGCGACATCAAGGACAACGGGAACATGTGCTCCGTCACCGGCAAGGCTCCTTGCATGATCGACTAAGAAACTAAGCGTTAACTTCGTGTCTGGCGTCGTTCTGCAACTGCTCTCCCCGCCGTGTCACACGGTGGAACGGCGTTGATTGTTTGCTCGCGACAAGAGCATTACGTGGACCTAGAGGAACAGGGTTGTCGCCACAATACGGCGAGAAGGGGTAGGTAGGGTGGGAGGCAACCGCGCTGTACATGTTCGGAGAGCAGGAGCGGCTCTGCCTCGCGCGTCATGGTGATCGTTGTGATGGACAACCCCACGCAACCAACAGCTGGTCCGGCACACATCACCATTGGCTCTATGTTTGTTGTTATCGGGGGGGGGTAGTACAACCAATGTGATGGCTGATGATTTGTTGGTGACTTTGTTGGTATTATTACGCTACTTCTTGCTTCCAATGTTGACTAGCCATGTACTCTTCAGCTTGTTGCCGAGTACCAATCAGAATATGGAGCCCCTGTACGCAGCGTAGTAGCCCGTGTGGAGCACCCGGACTTCCGGATGAATCGTGTTTCTTGTAATTATTATTTCTGTACCTTGATTATGAACTGTTTTGCTCAATTATGATTATTTTGGTTGACGATCTGCTTCTGTGGTGAATTCTATTGCTTGTTACTGTGATTTCTCTACAGCTTGACTACGAATTGTTTCGCTCGATTATGATTTATTATGGCTGACGATCTGCTTCGTGGTGAATTATTGCTTGTTACTATGATTGTTCTTGCTTGGTAATGAGTTGTTTGCTCGATTATTATTTATTTTGGTGGGGTACTTTCGTTATTGGGAGCCCATGTGGGCCGTCCCATGGGACACCATGGGACACGTGGGACGCCCCATGGGACCATGTCTGTTGTTGTTGTTGTTGTTGTTGTTGTTGTTGTTGTCTTCACATTAAAAACTGTTCCGATCTCTCTCTACCCAGTACCTTCGTATGTCCGTACTGATCCAACACTAGACGCGGTCGATTCCCGTGGTCACAGGTAGGTTAACTTACCCTAAAAAGTACCCTCAAATACACTGGCCCCGAGGGGTCGGCAAGTCAATGGAAATCAACGACAGATATTCTGGAGTCCTCCACTCCCTTTGCGCGCTATGCGAGGTATCAACTGAGACCTGGAGTCACGATCACGGGCCGGAGAGAAAGAGATACACCCCCTTGGTTCAATCTTGGTACTTCTCAAGCACAGACAAGGCCATCTGGCACAGAAAAAGAGAGAAAACAGAGAAAAAGAGAAAAAAAAAAAGGAAACAGTATAGATAGGAAGAGAAAATAAAATGAAAATAAAATGAAAAAGAGCGAGGACTAAAAGGGACCAGGCCGAAAACAACAAGAAATAATATAATAAGAGGCAGAAAAAGGCACACGGTGGAGAGACCACTAACAAACAAGCAAACACGCCATGGCCACCAACCAGCGGTACATTGTAATGGTACGTCATCACTAGTGGGGGGTTGGTGCAATATGGGAGCAGCGTTCGGGGGGGGGAATTGGCTAGAAGAAATTCAATCCGGCACGTATCGCGCCACTCGATCCGTCTCTTCTCGTTTGCTTTCTTCCCTCGCTGTCTCGTCCGTCTCCTGCCCCCCTCCCGCCCCATTGGTTGTTGGCTTGTGGTTTCGTTTGAGTGCTCGTTGTCGGCTGGCCTCTTCTTCTTTCTCGTGCCAGGAGGTCATGAACCTCTCAGCTCCCTGCAGCACCGCCGCATGCCAGGGTACTCCCCCCTCCACTTTCGCGGCTTCCGTCCACTTGAACACCATGGAATTTGTCCGATGGGACACATGGGACGTTCCAGGGCTGTCCCATGGGGCGTCCCAGGCGTGGGACGCGTGGGACCTCCCATGGGACACACCATGGGACGTCCAGTAGTAACGAATACAGTACACCATGTCCCGCGCGTCAGGTGACGTAAATGAAAATCGAGACATGCACAAGACGCACTTGCCCTTCTTTTCGTCTACAGAAGTAGGACGACGGTAGAATGGAGCAAGTATGAGCGTTGTATGCATATGAGCGTTACATGAGCGTTGAATGAGCGCTTCTTGGGTATTATTTTGATTCTTCGTTGGATATGGATATTTGGCGTCGTTGAGGGGTATTGAAGTAGCTTGAAGGAGAATGAAATTCCCAGCCCCACTCCCTCACTCTCCGAGTGAGCGCTGAGCGGACCTGGTCTTAAGAAGGCAAAAACAAGAAATCGAACAACAACTGGGAGTACCCGAAGCTGGGAGCAACGGACTTGCTCCCTTCCCTTTTTGTTTCTCTGTTCCCCCATAACATTGTGGCGTCGTCGGCAGTCCGACTGCAGCTGCCCCTGCTGCTGCCACTGCAGCTCCTGCTACAGTTGCCCCTGCTGCTTCTGTGGCTGCGGCTCCCGCTGCAGCGGCCCCGGCCGCCCCTGCTGCAGTAGCCCCTGCTGCTGCTGTGGTGCGACTCCTGCTGCAGCTGCCGCTGCTCCTGCTGTTACTGCGGCTTTTGCTGCCGTGGCCCCGGCTGCTCATGCTGCAGTAGCCTCTGCTGCTGCGGCTGCGGCTCCTACTGCCGTTGCCCCTGCTCCTGCGGCTACCACTCCGGAAATTGCTGTTTCTACGGCCGCTGCTGCTACTGCTGCGATGCCTGCCGTGTCTGCGGTGACCGCTGCTTCGGACGCCGTTGACCCCGAGGTTGCCTCGGTTACTGCAGCTGATGGTGCGGTTGCTGCTTCGGCAACTGCCGTGACTGACGTGAGGCCCACTGAGGAGGGATATTCTGCGACTAAAAGTCGCAAGGAGTGTTTCAAGCAAGTGGATCTCCGACAGTGACAGATTGGCCAGCAAGAAGAAGTCTAGAAGGTACCGTAGGAAGTACTCACTGTCGTCCGGCTCGTCTCTCTCCAGCGATGCTTCGTGTGACTCGTCCTGCTCCTCAACGTCGTCTTCCGACTCAGGTGATTATCGTGTCGATCGTCAAGACGATAGGCTCTTAGGTTTTGACTTCGACGCTCTAACCAAGTTCGTCGACGCCGGTACGTTTCAGTCGACAGCATCCAAGAGTGCCTGCCTCCAGTTGGCCATCGACCTCTCCTCCGATCTCAAGCCGGCGCAGAAACAACACGTAGGAAGACTGCTCGGCGACCGACACTCTGCCATCCAAGCTGCGTAGGCTGTTTGAGAGGCTTGTGGTCGCTCTGCGTGATATGCAGGAGGGGGACAAGTTCACGCATGCATGTAGACATCGCTGGACGTTCGGGGTCTGGTTCGGGGGGTCGCCGCTCTCAGGCGGGGGCCTTCCAATCTTCGGACGCTTCTGGGTGGGGCTCCACTTTAGGCCTCCACCGGGTGCCGCCATTCCTCTCGCGCCCACGACCGCTCGCAGACACAGAACTACCACTCGCGGGATGCTGGCCGTTCGACGGGATACGACTCTCGCGGTCGCACGGGTTGTCACCGGGATGCCGGCGGAAGGAAGCCTTGTACAGTACGGTATATAGAGGACATGACATGCCCTTTTTCAGTGCAGCCGTGGGCTGTAGATGCGCTTGGAAATCCGTACCCGTTGCAGCCGCCATTCATGGGTCCTGGGAGCCAGCAGTGGCCGATGACGCTGCCGCAGGACCCGATCACCGTCGCTTCCGCTCACATGACTGATGCCACCATGCCACCGCCTAGTACTTTGCCGCCTCACAAGCTGCGACGCCGGTCAAAGAGACCCAACCTGTCATCGACCACCCTGAGCCTGACTTAGAACGTGCACGACAGCTATTGAATATCATGTCTCTGTCGAGTTTTTCCCAGCAGTGACACCTGCCGGTGACGGCTTCGCCGTCGGTTGCGACCTTCGACGTGCCGTCATCGAGACTGCCATCGCCGGTGTCGCCGCTGTCGGTGCCGTCGCCAACGATGCCGCTGCCGCCGGTGCCGTCGCCGCCCGCTGGTGCCGCCGCTGGTGTCGCCACAGTTGGTGCCGTTCGTAAGACAGAGCCACCGTCATTAGTCGCCGCTTTGCCAACGCACACACCATTTGCCTTCGTGAAACCGGAGGCACCGCCCCCCGCTCCCGTTGTGAAAACGGAGACAACGTCGGTTTCCGGGGCGGTACCGACTCCCTCACAACGTGTTTTGCCACAGGAACCACAGGTCTCGGCTATCGCGGTGTCGATAGCGAGGCCGCCGCTGACGGCCATACAGGCGGCCGCAAGCGATTTCGCTGATGACCGGGCCTTGCCCCTGTAGTCTGCCGGTGCACGCATAGCACAGACACAGCTGGACCCGACCGCCGTTGCCGTCGCAGAGGCGTACGCTCTCAGTGTGGGCAAAGGATAGAGCAAGCTTAAAGTGCCCGAATTGCATGCGGTTGTTTCGCTTCCCCCGGTAGAGTTTTCTGCTTTCGTTCGTTTGGCCGAAAGTGTGCTGACTAAACGCTGATCCCTCTGGCAAGCAGACCATAAAATCGCCCACATGGGTGGCCGGATGGTATGCCCCTTTCCACAAGCGTGTCCTCATGGCCATTTCAAACCCTCAAGGCGCCAAGGCCGCAACCCACCAACTGGTGGATTCTTCGTTTTCTCAAGCGAAGCGTTTTCTGGAGACGAAGGACAAGTCGGGCCCCCCGGCATACCGTAGGCTGCTCAAGCTGCTCGCGGACGAGTGGGAACCGAAAGGTTTCAACCAAGGCATAGAAAAGCTGCAGGAATTTGGTGTGCCCAACGGCACGCCGTACAGCAGTTTTGTTACGAAGTTCAAGGCGTTGGAAACGTCGGAGTTGGCCTCGCATAGGGCTTTCGCGCCGGATCTCCGCATGGTACAGCGTGCGCTTAGGGACGCTTTGTTGGAGCAGTACCCGAATGTTGTCTCGTCTTTGCCGTTGAAGGATAAGTTTCTCAACAACGTGGTATTTAGTGATCAGGATGAGCTTTGGGGTGCTTTGTCGTCGGAGGAAGCACTAAAACACTCGCCCGCCTGCAATGGCGAACGCTACGTTACTACTATCACTTCTGGATTTTCATCGTCGCCCACACGAGCCATGACCGCGACCGTGGGGCAGTAGCGGCCACCACCGCCGCCGCCGCTGCAGCCGTCCGCATGGTCGCCGGGGCCACGCTTTCTCGTGATGGCCATCGACCCTGTGCCGTCCGATAACTCATGTCCTTTCGAGCAGGATTGCGACTGCTTGCCGTTACGTGGCCGCTACGGCTACGTGTACAGCGTTGTGGCGAGTATGGCTAAGATGGATCCCCCTTTGTTCACACCGCTGTTGACCCCTGCTGACTGA